ACCGCGGTTCAATCCCCCAGCACCACATGCCAGCCAGCCCTGCCCCCTGGTGGGCTGAGCTGGCCACACAAACACACACAAATAAATAAATAAATAAAATTTAAAAAAAAAAAGAAAGCCTAAGCAGACTGGGTAGATAGCTCAGTAGAATAAGCACTTGCCTGGCAAGCACAAGGTCCTGAGTTCAATCCCCCGTACCGCAAAAAACAAACAAAAAATAAACTTCGCAAACTTTGGAGCCAGGGAGATGGCTCAGGGAGTAGAATAAACGCTTGCATGGCAAGCATAAGGGCCAGAGTTCAATCCCCCGTCCCACCAAAAAAAAAAAAAAAGCCTAAGTAGTTTTCCTTACGAGCTGGCTTTGATAAGGGTGAGTTCAAAATTTACCTGCTTTCAAGTGTGATGATGTATGAAGATACACTTTCTCCTGGAACACTGTGGAGAACAAAGACAGATGTCAGTCATTTTTTTAAATAGGACAGGCAGCTCTTCCTTACTGCGCGTGGGAAACGGATAAAGGGTCCTATAGCCATTTCAAAGGACAGAGGAGAGAGTTCAATTTTATTTTTAGTTACTGACATTTGTAGTCCCGATTACATAATAGCATAATACTGGCCAACTCAGCTTTTTCTAAATTCAAGGCAGGTCTCAAGCCTGCAAGGGTAAGACTTAAAAACTACAGAGAAGAAAACAAATCTAGGTATTTTTCCCAGGTCCATTCCCACATTGACATCCTCCAAATGTACATTTCCAGTCAGGACCTCTTGGAACTTCTAGCTTTGATGTCTATCACCCACTTGCCATGTCCTTCTGCAGATCTGATCGGCATCTGGATCACATCCAAAACCAATCTTGCTCAATATTCCTTTCCGGCTTTGTCCCCATCTCAATAAAAGAAAACTAGTTCCTCAAACCAAAACCTTTATCCACAATTTTCTTAATACTGCATTTTTTTCCCTTTTGTTTTTGAGACAGGATCTCATTATATAGTTTAGGCTGGTCCTGAATTCCGTGTGTAGTCCTGACCAGTCTTGGACTCACTGTGATCCTCCTGTCTCAGGCTCCATGGGTATGTCAACACCCCCAGGTTAACCTCTTTTTTTGTACTCCAAAAGTAAGCATTTCTCACCAATTCCACTGTTTCTAAATTTACACCATCTTGCCACCATCTTTGCTCTGCATTACTTCAGAACCCTTGTAGTATTTCTCCCCAGCTCTGCTTCTGCCAGCTCTGTTCACAATATAGCAGCTAGAGTGTGTGAGCCCTTCATTCATTTTTGCAGTGCGGGGCATTGTATATTAAGCAAGTGTTCTACCATTGAGCTGTATCAGTGGCTCTTTTAAAACTTAGGATCACTACACGTTCGAGACCAGTGTGGGCTATAAGCTAGCCAGCCTGAACTAAATGGCAAGACTCTGTCTTAATCAGTCAACAAAACAAAACTCAGGTCATTCCTATACTCAAAACCCTCTAAACTAGTATAGTGACATTTGCAGCACTCTGGAGGCTGAGGCAGGCGGACTTGCAAGTTTCAAACCCTGCCTGGGCAATTGTGCAAGATCCTGTCTCAATAAAAAATGGGCTGGTAATGTAGCTCAGTGCAAAGTCCTTGGATTCAAGCCCAGCAACATAAAAATTTGCAATGACTTATTTCATGAGTACTAGTGAGTAACATTCAGCCAGGCATGGTGGTGCACCCTATGATCCCAGCACCTGGGAGGCTGAGGCAGGAATATTGTCAAGACCAGCCTGGGCTACATAGTTTAAAACCATCTTGAACTACATAATGAGACCCTGTTTCAACCCCCACACCCCCTACCCTAAACAATTATTCTTTTTTTAAAAAATTTTTTATTTATTTATGTGTGGCCAGCTCAGCCCACCAGGGGGCGGGGCTGTCTGGCATGTGGTGCTGGGGGATTGAACCGCGGTCCCAGTGTTTTGCTTAGCTTAAGCTTGTTCTAAGTAGGTGCTTTAGACCACTGAGCCATCTCACCAGCCCTAAACAATTATTCTTAAAATGGCTTGCAAGGCCCTACCCAACCTTCATCTTTGCTGCCCTTGAGTTTTCTTTTTTCTTTTTTTTTTGCGGAACCGCGGATGGAACTTCCACTGAGCCATCTCCCCGGCCCCTTGCCCTTGAGTTTTCTTCAACCATTCTCCTTCCTGTTTTGTCTAGTCTAGTCCTTATTCCTGAAGGTAACAGACGTACTGCCACCTTAGGGCCTCTGCTCTGGCTGGTACTTGTGAAAAACTCTTCCACATCATCTGCATGGCTCATTGGTTTGCCTCCTTTGGACCTTTTAATTAAATAGCACCTCAGTAAGGAAATTCCTATTTGATAAAACACTAACTCTACCCTGAGTATTATTTTCTCTGCTTTAGTTATCTCCATAGCACTTATACTTACTGAAATACAAGTTCTTTGGTACCAGAGACTTTTTTTTTTTCCTTATTCATGGATATACTCTGTCTGAAACTGCTTGGTACATAGTAGGTACTCAGTATTAACAATGAGAAAAATCTCTAGGCTCAGTTACAATAAGGGAGAGCTAAGGAGGGCTAAACCCAGAGGTGAAGCGGCTGCTGCCTGTGCCTAGGGACCAGAGATGCAATACTGCCCTCAGTGTTTCTCTTCAGGGTTGTTCTCTTTGGGGAAAACTCCTGTGTGGGACGTGGCTTTCATCAGCAGCAAAGCCCCAGTCCAGAGGGCTGCAGAGCTAAACAGGGGGCTGACCTGATGCAATGGTTACACAGAGATTAGTTGGGAGACAGGAGGGGAGAAAGAGGTAGGGACCAACCCCAGGAGGATAATGCCTTGGGGAAACCCCAAATGGCTTCCCACACAGAAAGAGCTCCAGGCTGCACTCTTGTGTGGGTGGCCCAGGGACCTCTGGGAAAACGCATCCCTGCTCCTGGGCCATCCATACCCCTGCTCCCAAGGATGGTCAAGGTTCTCCAATCATCTGCTGGATCCAGGGGTCCCTGCTACCTCCCCATCCCGCCGCTGCAAATGAGCCAGAGTTGGGAGTCAGGTGGGGGAATGCCGCTGGTGGCAAGTTGCTCTTTTTGTGGTACTGGGAATCGAACTCAGAACCTTACGGTGGCCAGGAAGGCGCTGTGCCACTGAGCTACATCCCTGGCGCTCCGCTGCTGGCAAAGTGACGGAACTGCCAGAGTTCACCTACTCTTCTCCCAGCGGGGATGTGTCCTGCTGCCTCGCGTCTCAGCAGACAGGCCAAAGGAGGCCCAGACAGGCCTAAAGTGGGCGACGGGAGAGAATTTCTCGATGGTAAAAGGGATCTAATTTGCAAGCAGCACAGAGCAGAACCCGTGCTCTGGGCAGGGGTGAGGCAGGAAAAGGAAGAAAAAAAAAATGCCTGTTAGTACCACTCCTGCATAACGGAGTCTTCCCATCCCTCCCTTTAACTGTCCTTAAATTCAATGCGGAGGGGGTGGGGCCACATCTAAAAGAGCGGACACAACTTCGGAGGGGACAACGGAGGTTCGCGAGGATGGGAAAGTAAAGGGCAGACTGGAAGTTAGTACTCGCCTCTCTCCTCAGGTTCCAGCTCTGATTCGGGCTTTGTCGCTGCCACCGGCTCATCTTCAACATCATACACTCTCTGTATTACGCTCAAGCCTCTGACCTCGAGGAAGTGCAGCCCAGACTCTTTAAGCACTGCCTTACCCTCCTCTCGAGGGCGGGACCTAGAAACCTACCAGTCATAAAGCGGCACGCCAGCATTGGCCCCGCCCCATTCTTCACAACCGCCACTCAGGAACTCCGCAGGACCGCCCCAATCGCTCCCTCCCGCCAGGGGGTCGACGTCTTGTTGGACCCGGAAGTATCTTTAGGTCACGCGGGCTCACGGAGGCGGTGGGTGAGTCATGCGCGCGCAGAGGGGAGTGTGGAGGGGGGAGGGGAGGGCAGGGGGGCGGGGATGATGCAATGTTTGGCAACCGGTGTCTGCGCGCGCACGCGCAGGGGACAACGAGGGTGGTGGGAGGTGCGGAGGGTGGGGGAGAAGAGAGGGCGGGGCGCCAGCTCCAGGCATCCAACGGCCCCAACGGCTATCAACTGTGGCTAGCCGTAGGCTGCTGTGCGTCGCCTCCCTACAGTTTGTCCCCTCACCGAAGCTACTGTTCCTCCCACTTAGCGTTACCCCCCTTTCACCTTCTCTTTAAGGGACTCTCATTTTCCTTGGCCCCTCCCCGCTAGTGGTTACATAGGCCCGCGAGTCACTGTCCCTTCAAAGTTTGCATCTATCCACCAGGATTGACATTAAAGGGGTCTCTACTTTTAACCTTCTAACGCCCCCAAAAGATGCTGGAATGCGCTTGATAGACTTTCTCTGCTTCTCTCAGAAGCGCACCCTTGATTTTTATCGTATAGTTTGTGATAGCTCTCGACATGCCAGAATCTATGTTCTTTACTGAGTGAACCCGATTGTATTTTCTTCCTTATTTTTCCCCGTGGTGCTTTTGTGTCCTTCAAAGACCAAGACCCTCTTTTCCACTATCCCAGAAGAGCAAATCCCGCGATTCCCTCACTCCCTGCTGAGGAGCTGGCACAGGCTCCGGTCTCCTGGTCTCCTCGGTGTCGGGTCGCGACCTCCAGGGGAGCGGAGCTGCCGGGACGTGCGTGTGGCCGAGCTGAGCGCATGACTTCCCTGGACGGGCTGTCAAGAGCCCAGATTCTGGCCTCTGCTCCTTCGCCTGCCCGGCGATCTACTGCTCTCATTTGTAAAGATAAGTTGTGAAGGTAAAATGAGAGCGTTCTGATCATGAACTTGGAAGCAACTTGAACAAAAGTAGAAAGCGCTGTGCAAAACGCAAAGTATTTTTCTGGTGCCATGAAAACAGAGGCTTCGTAGTGGCCTGTTAGCTAGCCTGTCATACCCTCATCGGGGCAGCCAGTGTTTGTGTAAGCAGAAACTGTCCCGAGACCGGTAGTGACTAGTGTGGCAGTGACAGGTCCGCGGCCCGGCTGCATGACTGCTCCAGACCTCCATTTCCCTTTCTGTGAATGGAGGTGGGGATTGGACCAGATGGTCTCTCCTGGCCTAAAGACAGACCAGGTTGTCAGTGACAGGCGGAGGTCATGTGACTTGACAGGCCGAGGTCGTGTTGTGACATGTTGACCTGGGGAGGCGGGTCAAGTCCCAGCACACAACCCGGGAAGCCTTTGGGGCGGGGCAGGGCAAGTCCCGACTTTCATCTTTTGGGGCTCGCCCTTCCCGGACCTGGCATTCCTGGCTCCCCCAACAGATTGTGGCTTTGGAAGGGCCCCTCTCCGGGGAGAGATGGGATTGGCCACCGGAGGCCTGGGAAGAGGCACAGATCCTTCCGCCGAGGGTGGGGGGGCCGCGTGGGGTGTTTGTTCTCTTGGGGATTAATGGGGGGTTGTGGGGGAGGGGCGGGCGCGCTCCCGCATGCGCACTGCGGCCCCTCCAGTTGGCTCGCTGCTGTCCGCTGGGCGGGGGCCGGGCCCCGCCCCTCTCCCGTCCGGGCGGCGGCGGCTGCGGCGGTGGCGGCTGCAGCGACGGCGGCGGCGGCGGCAGCAGCCTGCGCGGTGCCTTCTGGGAACGGAATCCCCAGGGCTGCCCCTGGCCCCCATGGCGCATGCGCGGGAGGCCGCTCGGTGATCCGCGGCGGCGGCGGTGGCGCTTCCTGCTAGGACCGGCCGGGGCCGTACCGGAGGCTCGGGCTCCACCGACCCTCCTCCCACTCCCTCCCACTCACCCTCTGGGCCGCGACTGCGCAGGGCGGGGCCGGCCGAACCATGGGCCGCGGTGAGTGCGGGGCCCGGCCCCCCCACCCCGCCCCTCCCCCTCCCCTCCTGTCCCTACCCTCTGCCCCCTCTGCGTCCTCTTGGCCCCTTTCCCCGGCCCCATCCCTACTCCCCCGCCCTCACCTGCCCCTGCCGTTTCTCCCTCGCACTGCCTGACTTCTGCCTTCCTCACCTCCCTCCCTTCAGTGCTTTGCCCACCCTCTGCCCGCCCTCTCTCCAAGTTCCTTCCTAGTTCGTGTGCCTTTCCCTCCTCCCTAAGCAGAGGGAAGCAGTCTGGGTGACAGGGCGCCTTGTTATGAGAGGGAAAGTTTGGAAACCGTCAGTGTGGAGTGGGAGCGATGGTGAGGTTGGGGAGAATACTTGCAGGTTTGAGGGACTTCCCGCATATTGGAGGAGAATGTCTTGGAGCTAATTGGAAACCGGGGGGGATTGAAGGATCTGAATCCTCTTCCTTGCCTTAGGCTTGGAGAAGAATAAGGAGCTTCTTTAGATTGGGGAGAAGGCAGAACTATGATTCTCACCTCACCCAAGCCCCAAATAAACTAGATTAGTGATTGCCTGATGGAGTGGGCATGGGGGATTTCTACTAGTATCTCTCCAGCAGGCATTTGAGCCATTGCCTGGTGACCCGTGCAGCAGCCTGTACTTTTAATATGAACTTCCTCAGGGAGATGAGGCCAGACGTTCTGGGAAATTCCTCGGTGTCCAGGCCTTATGGAAATTTATCCACACTTCACAAGCAGAGGTGTTCCTAATAGGACAAAGGGCCTGTCCCTCCATATGCCTGGAAATTGGGCTAGGATGCTTTGGTCTTTGGGAGTTGAGGCCCAGACCCTCTGGTCCTTAGGGACTGGGCTTTGACGGGATGGTTATGGGCTCAGCCAGCGGATCCTTGAGATCACTATAGGCATTTATCTCACACTGTTAGAGTGTGTTCTGGACTGTGTTGCTCTTTTTGAGTCGGGCAAATTCCTGAGGAAGCTTTCTCCTGTGTTGCAGGTGTGGGCTAAGCTGGCGGCCCGGGCTTTAGACTGGACCTCACAATGTTTGCAGAGATGTTCAGGTAGCCATGGCAGTATGGCAGTATGGCAGAGGATTCCTTCTCATTCTCCCAGGTCTCTGAGGGGCACCTTGTCACTCTGAGGCTTCCCCTGAGTTTCCTTGGGTCCCCCTACAACCTTTGCCTCCCTGGAGTCCTCCCTCAGGTACCCAGCCCAGTTTAATCCTCCTAGTGCCCACATGCATGTCTGTGTTATTAGGCACGCGGGAGCTGATTACACACAATGAATGGGGGCAATGAGAGCAGTGGAGCAGACAGAGCTGGGGGCCCTGTGGCCACATCTGTCCCCATCGGCTGGCAGCGCTGTGTGCGAGAGGGTGCTGTGCTCTATATCAGGTATAGATCTTCAAAGTTCCCCAGGTTTTATCAACCTGGCTGTCCTTGGCTTGCCTAAGTTTTCTTTTTCCCACCTTTGCATTCAAAGGTGTGGTCTCTTGTACCCTGTTGCTCTTCTTCATTCTTCCTCAACCTTTTTCCCTCCTCGGCTGTTTTTGCTGTCTGTGTTTTGGGCCTTGCATCCATTTTCTGTCTTCTCACTTCCCTTACCCTCTGCCCTTCCTGGGGAGTTCCTCAACTGAAGAAGTGTCTGATTTGGAGTATCTTCTGATTCACCGTCACCTAATTTCCGTCCCTGTCCTTTCCCAGCCCAAGTGGCACAGAGCTGTCTTCCTTGGAACAAACCCGGAGCTACCTCCTCAGCGATGGGACCTGCAAGTGTGGCCTGGAGTGTCCACTCAATGTTCCCAAGGTCAGAGTTGTGCCAGAGAGTGCAAGGATAAGCCCAAAGACAGTGCAAATGCTGACTAGGTAGCCTTCGACATCCCCAGCTGTTGGTGAATCCTAGAGTGGGGAAGCCCTCAAATCCCTACATCCTGGGCCTCTGCTCTGGGACACTCCCTCAGGGTCCCTGCCCTGCCTTCCACCCTACAGGTTTTCAACTTTGACCCTTTGGCCCCGGTGACCCCGGGTGGGGCTGGGGTGGGGCCAGCATCAGAGGAGGACATGACCAAGCTGTGCAACCACCGGCGGAAAGCTGTTGCCATGGCAACTCTGTACCGCAGCATGGAGACCACCTGCTCACATTCTTCTCCTGGTGAGTGTTCTGCCACTTGACTGAAGACTGAGGAAAATCTAAGGGTCTGGAAGGTGGATGGTGGGAGTTGTATGAGAGGGCGCAAGAAGAGGGTGGAATTGGGTGCAGAGCTCCTTGGTAAGAGGAGATTGGTAGTTGGGGAACTTTCTTGGGAGATGGGACTGCAGAAGACAAAAGAAAGTTCTTGGAAGGGAAGCTACAGGTTGACCCTTCATTTTTCATTTATTTCAGGAGAGGGAACGAGCCCCCAAATGTTCCACACTGTGTCCCCAGGGCCCCCCTCTGCCTGTGCTCCCTGCCGAGTTCCTCCTGCAACTCCTCTTAATGGGGGTCCTGGCTCCCTTCCCCAGGAGCCACCCTCAGTTCCCCAGGCCTTCCCCCCTCTAGTGGGCCCTGGGGGGCTCTTCCAGCCACCAAGGCTTCCTGACCCAGTCCCTTCTGGGGGCAACAGCAGCCCCTGTTTCCTCCCAAGGGGCAATGCCCCCTCTCCAGCCCCACCTCCTCCACCTGCTATCAGCCTCAATGCCCCCTCATACAACTGGGGAGCTGCCCTCCGGTCCAGTCTGGTGCCCTCTGACCTAGGCTCTTCTCCAGCTCCTCTTGCCTCTTCCTCACCACCTTCAGATCCTCCTCTCTTCCACTGTAGTGATGCCTTAACACCCCCTCCCTTGCCCCCAAGCAATAATCTCCCTGCCCCCCTTGGCCCCTCTGGTCCTGCCAC